TTTGATTTATCTATAATTTTCATGTGTTTACAGATTTTTATTTCAAATTAATACGAGAGTACAAATTTTTAGGTTACACTGTTCTCAATTTTTGTTTGTTTGTTTGTTTTTTGAGACGGAGTCTCATTCTCTCCCCCTGGGGTAGAGTGTTAGGGCATCATAGCTCACCACAACTTCAAACCCTTAGGCTCAAGAGATCCTTTTGCCTCAGATTTTCTATTTTTTGTGGAAACAAGGTCATACTCTTGCTCAGGTTGATCTCCAGCTTTTGAGCACAAGCTACCCATCTGCCTCAGCCTCCCAGAGTGTTAAGATTACAGGCATGATGGGGTGGTGCCTGTGGCTCAAAGGAGTAGGGTGCTGCCCCACATGCTGGAGGTGGTGGGTTCAAACCCAGCCCCCAGCCAAAAACTGCAAAAAAAAAAAAAAAAAAAAAAATTACAAGTGTAAGCCACTGCACCCAGCCTGTTCTCAATATTTTTTTAATGTATCTTTTTGTATGGTTTATGAGCTGTTTTGCTCTGGGTATTCGGTTGTATATATGTCATTCATCTCAGTCGATTGGTGTCAACATTTTACCACTTTAAGTGAAGTGTAGAACCCCTTTATTTCCCTTTATCTTCCCCTGTTTATAATAGTCTAATGTTTTCTCTTTATATATTGAGACTTGTACCAAGTATCATAATTTTTGTTTCAATTATCGATTATAATTTTAAAAACTCCAGACAAGGAACTACAGCTAACCCTATTATATTTCACCATATTTTGTTGTTTCCGTTGTTCTTCCTGAAGAACAGAACTTTCCTGAAGTTTCAAGATTTTTTTCTTTGTCCTGTGCTTCAGGTTTAGAAAACTTCCTTTAGCCATGTTTCCTCCTCTGATACATTCCAGCAAGGAAAGGAGATGCCCACTCATTTTTACTATATGGAGTAAGGAATGGAAATACAGACTCTCTAATAGTGACACCCTGCGGCCAACACCCACATGACCTAGACTCACGGTGAGCGGGAGGGCTTCATTACGGTGAGCTTCCACTTCTCTACCGGACTTCCTTGAATACCATCCAGCAGGGTGTGGGTGGGATGACTATACCACCACCTAGTCTGAATGTCCAGGCTCCCCTCATGGTCTCCATCGACACCAGAGAGGAGGGGTGTTGTTTACACCATTACAGGGCAGAAATATCTCAGCTCTTTATTTGACCTCTGACAATTTCCCAGCCATTGAAACACCTCATTATAGCCTGATAAGGAGCAAAGTCTGGACTCTCCAAACAGCCACAGTTGAGAGGGATAAGGATGAGGGGTAACAGTTTTTCTCTGCTTTCTTATTGAAGTAGAGCAGCTATTCAGTCACTGTTTTTCTTACTAGACTACCCTTCGTTTGGTTTCTTAACTAAAAAGTTGTTGAATCTTTAAGAGATTCTCTAATAGCTGTTGATCTTAGATCCTGAGGTGTCTAGCCAGTCTCCCTTCTTCTATATACCTTTCTGAGCCTTCTCATGTTTGTTTGATACAAAATGCTCAGGATTTTTATCTGTTTTTACAGAGAAGAATAGACAAATGTTCTAGCAACAACATTTAGGCCCCAGGTATTCTAACATTTTCTTACGTTGACTGTGGGAAGCGAAACTATTCTTGACCCTATGTAAGCTCTGGAGATGGTTTAACCTGCTCCTACCAAGTGTTTTCTTTTACCCTGTCTCACATGTGGTAGCTAATTAGAACTCAGCTAAAGATGAAAGGGACCCCTCTGCAGATCTTAAGAGTTTCCCTGTGTGCACAGCACTTTCCCTTCCACACAGCTCCCTCCTCTAGCTACTTTGGCTCCTTCTAATTATTAACCCTATGAGCCCCTAATTATAACAGAGCAAGATGGAGCAATCAAAGGGGTTGCCTCATTTATTTCCCTTCTCTTAGAGACTGGTCTTATACTAACTTTTGTCTAATGTCTGAGAATCACATTTTATATATTCATCAGATATATTTTTCTAGTTTTTTAAAGGTATGGAGCAAATGGATCCCAGTTACTCCAACATGGCCTTGCCATTACTTTCCCCCTTAGTCTTATCTCGAGCATTGCCTAAAACAAGATACAAATTTGCCATAATTGTCTCATGTAAGCTTCCTGAATGTACACACTTTCAGGGGGAGAATATTGGCTCTGAAACCGTATGACTTATATTACATTCACAGGATAAATTGATATTCTTCTCTTATTTCATAAGATTTTAAATTAAAAAAAGACAACAGGTCATTAATCTAGAAAGAAGATAATAAAAGTAATCTAATCTCATCTAGAAATGAATTTATGTCTTGCTACTTTGGAACACTTCAATTACATTCTTATTACACTTTGCATCCTGTGACATTGCTGAGGTAACAGACTTCATTTTACCTTATCACTAAAGAAAAATCTGATTTTATTCGGTAGGAAAGTCTGTGACTGTATTACAAAAGATCTCAAATTGATGAAAATTATCAAAGGTAATAAAAGTTTTCTCCAAAAGAAATATCCTCCCTAGTTAAGAGAAAAAACAAAAGATTGCCTCTATTTTATGTTTCAGCATTAGAACACGCATAGTCCCACAATATTATTCCAAGACTTAACATAGCTATAAAATGCAAAATGTGGTTTTAAGTACTGAACTGCTAAGCTTATGGAAGATCGAGTAGTCATCAAAGTGTACTTATATTTAAATAACCTTATGGATGCCTTCTGCCCCAGGAAAGTTACCCTATTACTGAACTCACTTTAATTATATGGCACAGATATTTTATGTGTGAAATAATGACTAACAGTGTAAAGTTCTGAAAATTGGTATGAGAAAATTTCTTATTTTGTGAATTAAATGCCATTCTAATATTATTATGGGTATGAACATTTTAGAAGGGCCCATAGGGAGTACTGCTGAAGAATAGACGTCACCTCCCTATACAGATGGAATTTTTAAACAATTTAGAATAGCATATTAGTGTTGAGGATTGCTATATATGTTGCCTTTAGCTGATTTGAGAAAAATTGGCATAGCAAGATCCTTTACTCCTTTAATCCTCTTTAGTAAACTTTATTCAAATATCACAAATAGATGATGAATTGGAAAAGGGGAAGAGATTCCATTCTAATAGAAAATAGCAGAAAGTGTATGCTTTGTACAATTAATTGATACTTATCCCTATAATCATTGGCACTTGACTTTTTTTTATGTCACTAACCAGGGAGATAATAATTGTGCCCATTAATTTTGTTCATTTTTGTGACTGTTTCCTGTCCATCTATTCTATCATGTTTCAAACCAGAATACTTTGTTTTGGCCAGATGTGTCTTGTGCTTGTCATTTTTTTTACTTGCAGAAAGGGGGAATTGTTCACATCCTATGGGAACGTTATCTAGCCTCATCAGTACTTATCATAAGAACAGTTATGAACCATAGGAATTAATGGACCACCAATGGTCAGAAATTTCATTCCTTCACTAACAGTTAATAATGTAATATAAAGCAATGATAAATGCCAGGGAACTGAAGACCATATTGTATAGACTACTAAGTTTTCCTGGCACCCAGAAATGTTATGAATTACTGTAGTAATAGAAGCCAATGTGGCATATGGTAGATGGCATATTTTTAAATGTTATACATTTTAATTTTGGGCAAAAGTTTATTTCAGTGCCTACTCCTTCATTCCGTTCCCTATTTCTTCCTTTAAAATAAACCTTCTCTCAGTAGCTAAAGAATGTCCAATTAAAAAAATGTCAATGCAATGTTACACTAATTGACATCCTTTATAAAATATGTCATTTTAGTCCCCAAATGCAGTATACATTCAATAATTATAATATTATAGAAGAGAACATGTGTGCTTATCATATAAATATAACACACACATAAATGTACATGTACATATGCCACTTGATGGCCACAATGTATATGAGTTCCAAGTGATAGAACAGTGGCTACTATTTCAGCTACTTTTGCTTGCTTAACAAATCAAGACAAAACTTAATTAAAGACCAAAAAGCATTATTATTTACCGTGATTCTGTAGGTCAGCTGGTCTGTGTCAGTTTGTTTGACATTTACAGTTAGCCAGCATCTCAGCTGGGGTTGAAGGTCTAACTTACACATCTGTTGTTGGCAAACCGGTTAATCTAAGGAGTCTCAGCTGTGATGCATCATTTCTGCTCCACATAATCTCTAATCCTCCAGTAGGTTGTCCTGGACTTCTTCATGCAGCAAGAAAGATCAAGCCTCTGTGCTTAAGAGTTCAAACCTCCACTTGTGTCACATTTGTCAAAGGGCTATTGTCACAGGAAATCACATAGCTGGATTCAAGGGGTGGAGAAATAGGTTCTACCTCTTGATGGAGGAGCTGCCAAATGTTGTGACAATTATTGGACTCTACCAGACTATGGATTTTGAAAGCCTATTCATTCTTTCATGCCTCCATAATCCCAATCCTACTCTCCTTGCATATGAATACAGACAAGCTCAATATATTTTATTTCCTTGTTTCCTTTGTTCTCATGAGTCTTCTACAAACACTACCTAACCCAAGAATTTAGCATTTAGCTCTGGATATACAATTGGTATTCAATTAATATTTTTCAATTAAATGAAGAGAACAGATATTGTTAAACTAATAATATAATTATTTTTTCGATTCAAAGGCAATATACACATTGCCTATATCCACATAATTTGTTAATCTTCAAAATAGTATTTCAGTCCATATATCCTAATTGTGGCTGTCCCTTAGGTAAGTCAAGTTTATTTTCAGGTCTTTGGATTTACTGTATTTTATGATAACACATTCTTTGCAATTTTGCTCAACAGAATATTTACCTTACATCAGTATTATTTCTGTCTTAATTGCGCATTAACTCTCTGTTCTCTTCTTCAATAAAGGTATTGTTTATTTGACAATAAATCTTATATTCATATTATCTTCAGGTAAATGTTAATGATGACCTCATATACTACTTTAAATTCATATATAGCTGATCCTTTTGTAGTTCATAAGTGTGATGATTGGGTGGTCATATGTACATATGAGAAGTCCTTCCCTCAGATTTTGTTAAGGCATCAGGATATTACCCATCTGATGTGAAAAATAAATAAATAAATAAATTCCTTAATTCATGCATACCCTTCACCCTACCATATTTATTCACTTTTGCTAAATTTAACTTGTCCAATACCCATGCACCATTGGCCCAACTACCCCATCTCAATTCACCTCTCTCAATATTATTTATTCTATGACTTTTACAGTCAGGTTGGAGTACAGATTCTACTTTATATTCCCATTAATTAGAATCAGATTATCTGACATTTGAAAAATTAATTGGTTCAAATTTCCATTACTTTCTTTATCATATCTGAAATCTGATTTCTTTCTGCTTTCCCATCTACATTCCTCTTTTAAAACCAGGACATAGTAAACCATGCTCCTCTTTTAAAACTGGGACACATTGATGCTTGATTTTGTAATTGTTGTTTCTATATTTATTGTTAGGACTTTTTTCCTTTCTTTTTCTTTTTTCTTTTTTGAGACAGAGCCTCAAGCTTTCACCCTGAGTAGAGTGCATGGCATCACAGCTCACAGCAACCTCCAACTCCCGGGCTCAAGCAAGTCTCCTGCCTCAGCCTCCCAAGTAGCTGGGACCACAGGCGCCGGCCACAACGCCCAGCTATTTTTTTGGTTGCAGCTGTTGTTGTTTGGTGGGCCCAGGCTGGATTCAAACCTGCCACCTTAGGTGTACGTGGCTCGTGCCTTAGCCACTTGAGCCACAGGCACCAAGCCAGGAGTTTCTACCTTTCTAGCAGGTTGCTTTGTGCACACACTAGGAAGGTGTTACGTTATAAGAACATCCTGCTATGGCTTTGCAACCTGAAGGGATAAGTTTCTGGTATTGTTGATTACAATCAGATAACAAAAAATCCCCCATAGTCTGATGCTAACAAGTGTTCTGTGAATGGAGTAAAATGAGTAGGAGGAAATGGCAATTCTTGTAAAAATCAAACCCTTTTCCCAGTCCAGAAACAAATTATACTTGATTTGATAGGCCTCATGAGGGCCAAAAGAAACATTTGAGTACTGCCATATTTATGCTTGAACTGTAGAATGAAATGTAAATTTATGTAATTAGAATACCCCAAAAAGCTGCTGTGGATACCACAAGTCATATAACTTATAAAACATCTCTGTCAAAAGTAGATGTTTGTTTTAATTTTGCTAACTTATAAAAATTAGCCCATGATGCTAGGATCTAATACCAACACTATTAGATCCAATACCAAGGTCAAGAATTAGATTTAAATTTTCTCTGACTCTCATACCTCAAAATAGTTAAATGTAAGGGAAGTGGATGGATGGCTTAGCATCAGGATAATGGAGAGAGGTCAGAGAACAGTGGAAGCTGCTCTGAAGCATGCAATTTTTTTTAAAGTATGTGTTATAAATGGTGGAAATAATAACATAAAAATTCATTTATCACAGGTCCAGATAAAATAAAATGTCAGGATATGTTGTCTGTGGTAGATCTACATCGTTTGGAGGTTTAATTCTGCTATATAGCCCTATGTACACCTACCAACACCCTGATGTCATGTCACTGCCTCATCTTTTGTCAGTTTAGCAAATGACATGTTATCACTGCTTAACTGATTCTGTGTTTCAGTTATACTCAATAATGACTTGTGCTTTTGCACAACTGAAAATTTTCCCTAAAATTATTTTGATAACAGTGTCTAGTACATAATCAGTATTAATAAATTTTAACATATTACATTAACAAGCATAAACATTAGCTTTCATTGTGGGGAAATATATAATCAGAAATTAAAAAATTATAATTGACATTTTATCTGATATTTTAGCCTGATTCTAACTATGAAATAAAAAGTGACTTATTTTTAAGAAATTATTGAGTGTTTTGTTTTTAACAATATGTTGTTTAATATAAGGGAGTAAATAATTTGAGAATTATTGGCATTAACTATGATTGTGTGATGGTTTGTCCTTTTGAAATATTCCTAAGGGTACATCAAATTCAATTTTTCTGTGATTCCAGCACATATCAAGAGTTCTCTCTTATACAAAGTTTGCCAAATCATATAGAAAATATTCTTTCTCAAATCTCTCAAGTCTAACTAAATGTGAAGATACTTGTAGTAGGTTAATAGCATTTACTAAGTTGAATTTTGTATAAAGGGGGTAATATAACAATTGTAACCTTAACAAGATTCATAAAAAATAAAGCAACTGGCATTTCAGAGGGTTACTAAGTACCAGAAAATATAATACATGCTATATAAAAAAATTTTGAATCCTGAAGACTTGCCAAATTTAGAATTATTATCCTCATTTTATCTATGTAGAGATTGAATAGCAAAGAATTAGATAAATTTGCCCAAAATTATGCAGCTGTGATATTCATAAACAATTTCTTAGACTTCAGATCTCACCTCCTCACATTGTAAACAATCATTGGCACCTGCCATTCATAATACAGTTATGAATACTACAAGAATCAAATATGCCCTCAAATATTTACAAAGTAGAAGAAAGAACAAAAAGAACAAAAAACAATTATATAGTCCATGAAAGATTGTAACAGCATTCAAAAGGGAAATACAATCAAATAAGTTGGGACATGCAAAGAAACAAAATGTGTAGTCATTACTCTCAAAAACTGACTCTTGGAAAAGGATGGCTGTAGGATTGCTTCCCATAGAGCATAAATGTGGTAAAGGGTGAATACTACAGACTGATCTTCCATTGTACCAAGTGTACTCAAAAAATCTATTTCAAGAGCTGCCTTTCTGGGTCTACAGATACTTATGATTGCCTACTATGCATCGATTAATTATCAATAAAATTTTATGGAGAAAAGTCATAGGTGACATTCAAATTGATCTCTATAAAAGTCACACATTGAACAATGATGAATACATGAAATCAAATAGAAAGATATACATGCATGCTCCAGGAAAGTTTTAATAAGTGTATAACATATGCTTATTATTTATTATTTACTGACAAGTAATAATTGTGTAATATCCATGCATACATAGTGATGTTTCCATACTCATAAGGTAGAATATATAGGGTACATATCAGGGTATTTGGCATTTCCATCATCTCAAAGATTTATTTTTCTTTGTGCTATCCAATATCTTCCTTATCCCTCTAGTGAATCTCCATGAAGAACTTGAGAAATTGATGCTACTGAGCTAAGAAGAATCTGAGCTTCTGGTTTCCCCCTTCCCATTCTAAAATGATAGGTTTTTCATTAGTTTTCGGAGTTGGAATTTTGCATAAGAGACCATGTTTTAAAGTGTGAATTACTTCTAAAAACAAATATTTTAGGATGACTTTTTCAGGGTTTATGTGTTCAGGAACTTTTCCAATTGGGATTGTTCAAAGTTCCCTTTAACCAATAATCACTGAAAATGGATGGCAATGGATTTGCTCACAGGAACTGATTTCCAAGGACTCAGGTAATCAACAGAGGAAGGTCTGGCTACAATTTTCTGTCTCTCAGGATTTCTATTGGCATCACTCTGAGCTACCTGCTATGTCTGATCTGTCATCACTATACTTTGTTTTCTTGTTGAACTCACTTCCATAGGTCTGATTCTTATAGAACCCATTTGAGACAGGTACTCCTTCATAGTGATATACATCAGATTTGGGGGTTTCTCTAAAATTCTCATTTTGACATCAAGGTACATATATCATTATATTTCGTTTTCAACTGATCAGCTTTCTTATTGACATAAATTAAAAGTACATGAATCCAAAAGTGTGTGACCACCTTTATATCATTTATTATTCCCTAGTAAAGTAAGCTATTGACAAGTGCATATTCTTTAGTTATAGAGACAGAAATCATTATATTTCTTTACGAAATATGTTTAAAAAAACAAACAAAAATATGTTTAAAATATAAAGCATTATATATATATATAATAATGTGTTATCATTCATACCTTTAAATAGCTATTTTTGTTGATATTAGAACCAAAGATCCTAGTTAAAGAGCAGTGGCTGTGGCTCAGTGGGTAGGGCACTGGCCCCATATACTGAGGGTGGCGGGTTTGAACCTGACCCCAACCAAACTGCAACAATAAAACAGCCAGGTGTTGTGGCAGGCACCTGTAATCCCAGCTACTCGGGATGCTGAGGCAAGAGAATTGCCTACTGCCTGGAGTTGGAGGTTGCTATGAGCTGTGACACCATAGCACTCTCCTGAAAGCAATAAAATGAGACTCTGTCTCTAAAAAAAAAAAAATAAGAAAAGAAAAAAAACTTAAGTAAATAAATCATGTTTAATACAAACTAGTTTCATTAAGATATTTTATTTTACGGGTACAAATGAACAATGAAAGTACAGTTTTCAAAAGTGTGCCTTTTAGTTTAATATGAAGTGACATTAAAATGATTAAGAACAAAACTGAACGCCATGTAAGTGTTGCAACAATTCTTACATTACCCATGACTGAAGTGATTTAATGTTTGTCAAAAACGTACGTGCATTGCATCTTATAACTTAAAATATGGAACAGTTCTGTATCTTCCTTGTGGTGGGGAGTAACATGAATCACCACATGTGATAAAAATGCACAGCAGTGTATACACACACAAGCACAAATAAAACTAGTAGAATATGAATAAACTCCATAAATTGTACTGTTGTCATTTGATATTATCCTATAGTTATACAACTTGTTGCCATTGGAGAAAACTAAATGAAGTATACATGGGACTTGCCTGGACACTTTTTTGCAACTGCTGATGAGTCTAGAATTATTTCAAATTAACTAGAAAAAAAAAATCAGGAGAACAAATGGACAACATTAAGAAAGTAAGAGAGTAGGCAGCAGCTAACTGGAAAAAAACCCCACATAATACACGTATTAACAAAGGATTTGTACTATCTAGAGTATTTAAGGAACTCAGCAATAAAAAAAGACAATTGTCTTTTGTAAAAAGTACTTAGAGAGAAATTTCACAAAGGTTAAATATCTTGAGTCCAATTACCATATGAAAAAGTGATCAGAATTATTAGTCACTAGGGTAATTCAAAATAAAAGCATAAT